TAATACTCATACTTCTCCTTTTGCTAAAGATGTATGTTATCTAATTTCTCTAACATATGTTAGACAAATGGCATCTAGAGGGGGCACAAATTAAAATAGATGTCAAATTAAAAATTTATTTGTGAGTCAATAATTTGTTAAAGCGAAAGCAATAATATAATCAGGAAAAGAGAAAGAGATAAGGGAAAGAGAAGAGCACACAGAGATTTATACCTGGTTCGGGTATAGTCAACCCTACATCCAGCTTCCAGATCAACTCTTAACACAAGAGTGACTCTCCATTCACTATCTTTCAAATTCAATTTACAAATTACAATCAACTCAGCAGAAGAACCAAGTAAAAAGTAAACTAATTAAAAAGACAATCACCTCCTTAGAAACCCACAAAAGATGAACATCTCCCTAGAATCTCACTAGGGATGAACACCTCCTCTCGAACAAATCAAAGGATGAAAAACACCTCCTTAGAATCCCACTAAGGATGAACCCCTCCCTAGAATCACACTAGGGATGAAAACACCTCCTTTTCACCAATTCAAAAAGGATGAAGGTAATAAAAATAAGAACAGACACACACGGGTAATGGAGATAACAAATTGTAGAAGCCTCGTAGAATGTCAATCTCCAAGAACAAGTGTGATTAACAATGAAAGCACAGAAGGTAGTAGAGAAGAGGGTTTTCTCAAAAGGTGTAAAATATCTCTGTTGCCTTGTTCAGAATTTTTTTCTCAAAACTGATTGAATGTAAATTGTATTTTCGAATTCTGTAATTGTGTGTTTTTTATTTTTCATCAAAACTTAATTAAATAGAAAAATAGCATCAGAAAATGGTCGTTGGACATTAATAATATCATAGAGAAAATCAGGATGTATTAAAAAACATTTATTCTTTAAAACAGATATATTTTTCAAATTTGAATTGTCATAATTGATTATATTACCAGTATAATTAATTATGATAGAGAAAATCATTTTTCCATTTCTGGTGCATCATAATTAATTATGACAGTGAAAAATATCATGTTATGAATTTTATCACACTTGTGCTTTGGAGGCTTATGCATAATATTACTTCATCAACTTGTACCTCCATATCCAATATTCTAAGACTCTATCTAGTCTTCAGGAATCATCTTGGGTTTGCTTGAATCATCATCTTTACAAAAAACATATATTGGGCATGTAGGAAATGTTTCACATTGTCACCTACGTCATAAATTTAGCTTGTTCTTAAATTTATCTTGAATGGTGTTGACTTGAATGTAGTTGACTTGAATCATCATCAAAATCATCTCTTGGGAATGCAGGAACATTTCCATCAATCTCCCCCTTATTGCTTTCAACATAAGCAAGTTATAACCTAGGATTAAAACAACAATCAATCATCATCATTTGAGGATAGTTCAATAGTTTCGTCATCTTCATCATCACTTCCTTCATTTTTTATTTTTGTTCCACCTTACTCTTGTTGTAGTGTGGATAGAATAAATGATACTTTGTCATTCAAATTGTTAAATCTAGAGCATTAATACTCATACTTCTCCTTTTGCTAAAGATGTATGTTATATAATTTCTCTAACATATGTTAGACAAATGGCATCTAGAGGGGGCACAAATTAAAATAGATGTCAAATTAAAAATTTATTTGTGAGTCAATAATTTGTTAAAGCGGAAGCAATAATATAATCAGGAAAAGAGAAAGAGATAAGGGAAAGAGAAGAGCACACAGAGATTTATACTGGTTCGGGTATAGTCAACCCTACATCCAGTTCCCAGTCAACTCTTAACACAAGAGTGACTCTCCATTCACTATCTTTCAAATTCAATTTACAAATTACAATCAACTCAGCAGAAGAACCAGTAAAAAGCAAACTAATTAAAAAGACAATCACCTCCTTAGAAACCCACAAAAGATGAACATCTCCCTAGAATCTCACTAGGGATGAACACCTCCTCTAAACAAATCAAAGGATGAAAAACACCTCCTTAGAATCTCACTAAGGATGAACCCCTCCCTAGAATCACACTAGGGATGAAAACACCTCTTTTTCACCAATTCAAAAAGGATGAAGGTAATAAAAATAAGAACAGACACACCTGGGTAATGGAGACAACAAATTGTAGAAGCCTGTAGAATGTCAATCTCCAAGAACAAGTGTGATTAACAATGAAAGCACAGAAGGTAGTAGAGAAGAGGGTTTTCTCAAAAGGTGTAAAATATCTCTGTTGCCTTGTTCAGAATTTTTTCTCAAAGCTGATTGAATGTAAATTGTATTTTCGAATTCCGTAATTGTGTGTTTTTTATTTTTCATCAAAACTTAATTAAATAGAAAAATAGCATCGAGAAAATGGCCGTTGGACATTAATAATATCATAGAGAAAATCAGGATGTATTCAAAAACATTTATTCTTTAAAACGGATATATTTTTCAAATTTGAATTGCCATAATTGATTATATTACCAGTATAATTAATTATGATAGAGAAAATCATTTTTCCATTTCTGGTGCATCATAATTAATTATGACAGTGAAAAATATCATGTTACGAATTTTATCACACTTGTGCTTTGGAGGCTTATGCATAATATTACTTCATCAACTTGTACCTCCATATCCAATATTCTAAGACTCTATCTAGTCTTCAGGAATCATCTTGGGTTTGCTTGAATTATCATCTTTATAAAAAACATATATTGGGCATGTAGGGAAATGTTTCACATTGTCACCTATGTCATAAATTTAGCTTGTTCTTAAATTTATCTTGAATGGTGTTGACTTGAATGTAGTTGACTTAAATCATCATCAAAATCATGTCTTAGGAATGCAGGAACATTTCCATCAATCTTCCCCTTATTGCTTTCAACATACCCTTTTCAAAAGATGTATGTTATCTAATCAGAACAATTTATATGCATTATGTCTAATTTATTTCTAATAATATAATTTTTTTCCTAAGCAATGATCTAATAAAAATATCTACTAATTATTTATTTGTGTTAATATGCTCAATTTTACAATCTTCTTTGATTACATGATCTTTAATAAAATTATGTCTATTTTCTATATATTTTGTTTGAGAGTGCATAATTGAATTTTTAATATGATCCATGATATTAGTGTTATTATATTTCAAATAAATATGTTCTGAATGCATAAATAAGATGATTTTTTTTATTTATTATTTTTCTCTTTTTCTTATAATTACTTAAGTATCAAACTTTTTTTTAAAAAAAGAACTCTTTTTTTTTCAATATTGAGTCAAACTAGGCTCGATAAATCCTAAAATACACAGTAAACTAAACCGATTTATCTAATCCTATTTACCTTTAAAAACCAAACTTTTATTAATAGGTAAAAAGAAATGAAGTTAATTGGAAGTTGATTTCACATGGATTTTCTATGTTGTAAAGAGAAAAGGTATTGTGTGACTATTGACTTTATCGAAGGGAGTAAGAGGTGGAGCATGATTGTTGGATACCAAACAAACGTTATTTAAGAGGGCGTATTCCCCTTTATAGGTTTGTCCAAGTAAAATATTTCACACCATCACTTTTCACCTTTTGTGGTCAAAAAGGGACCAATGCATGACATGACAATGTGTACACTTACCTCTCACCCGACAAGAAGTTGGAAGTTAGAATTCTGTTGGAATCCATCATGAGAGAAAGAATCAAACTTCATAAAGTAATCAAGAAAAAAAAAATTAATTAACCTACTTTTCATGCTGGTAATTAATGCATGCGTGGTTCCGTGATTAGGTTACTTTAATACCAAGGGAACTCTCCTTTTCGTCAACTTCAAACCCAATCAAAAGGGTAATTAGTTTATTAATCCCACGCTTAAGGGCTTTCCTCAATTTGTAAACCTAATTATAAGTCATTTTTTCTCTTTATTCAAGAGGTCAACAACATATGGGAGCCGAATACATTTATAAGACTTTTGTGTTTTTTTTCTCTTAATCACTTCTAATTTAATCTCAAATAGTCTTATACTTGTGTTTTATTTATAAAATTCATTACTAAAATATTAATATTTTTCATTATTAAAAATTAGTCTTTATTAATGTAATAGATTAAACCTCACAAATAAATATAATTTTAGACCCTAAATCGTAAATCCTATAAATAGATAAGATATTATCAAATCTCAAAAAAAAAAACATATTAGATTTAATACTTAATAATTAGATGATATTGTGTTAACAATTAAAAAATTGTCGAAACAACTAAATTCTTATTTGACAAGGCTTATTCCTATATTCTTAAATTCTATTATTAGGTTAATTGTTATGCCATATATTTTTCGAAAGGTAAAAACATCTCTAAAAATTCTTTCTTGGATTTGAAAGAGAATACTCGAATTCTCCCTGTAACTAAAAGGTATATCATATCTAAATTTAATTAGGATTCAAAGTAGTATAAGAACCAAATAGAAAAAACAATATCCTAGATAAAATTATAGTTAAGAAACTAATCTAACTTAGAAAAGTAAAATATTCTGTAAAAATGACCCATAGACTCGTTGATAAATTTAAAATGAAAAAAAAAAAACTATTTATGTAAGTTATTTGATTTCTTAATTGAAGCAAAAGTAAAATAAATTGGTTAGATGAAAAGTAAATAACTAAAAAGTTAACAGCTGATACCCTATCATATATTCGATGATATATTACATCATAAATCTTTCTTGTGTAAATGCCAAGCTTTAATCGATTTGAAAATTTAGAAATTTTTTTCCAATATAACAAAAAATATATATATAAATATTATTTGATTAGTTACATTAATTTGAATCCTTTATAAATTCTATCCAAAGCTTCAATTTTATTTTCTTTTCTTTTTGGCATTTCCATTGGTCAAACTTCTTCGTCCCAAAATTACTGCATATTTTTGGGCACTAGTAACCATGATTTGAATACCTAATGATATTATATATATTCAAAGTGTTGGTTGGTAGGTCTAAAAGGGTGCAACGGATTTGATGGAAATATACGAAAATTTACTCTTCAACTCCATAAAAATCATTATCATCGTTGACCAAAAGCTTTGTGATTCTTCCTTCCCCAATGAAATCTAAAACCGTTTTAATTGTTTTCTAACCCTAAAGTGGTTATTATTAAAGTGTAAAAAAGTTCCTTTTTTCTTTGACGAAGACTTGTGGATGATAGAATATTAAATTGTAAAAATCTATGATCTAGAACTAGCTAGGTTGTTTTATGCAATTTCCGTTTTACAATAGAAAAATTCAGTCGCTAAATTTCCATAATCGAGAAGATTAGAGGGCGTCATTTTCAAATAGAATTAACTTTATGCATTTTGTGACTGTTTTACCTTTTGTTTTTTGAAGATTTTTTTTATAATATATATGGTATTATGTGTTTTCTACTATTTAAACAAGTAAAATAATGATATATAACTTGTTTTAAACATATCTTAAAAGAATTTGTTTGACGTCTTTGTCGATTTAATTATTTTTAGTTTTGAACAAAATTGGCTAAAATTGTTAAAACAATGAAGGATGATTACGTGATTATTGTGAAAAATGATTCAATATCAATTATTTATTATTTATAAGATTTTTTTATTTAGACTAGTAAATAATCTTTTTATTTAAATTAACAAATAATTTTTTTTAATTTAGGTATTAAACTCAAAAATATAATAATAATAATAATAATAATAATAATAATAATAATAATAATAATAATAATAATAATCCTACTTTATATTATATGAAATCAAATTTTTATAATGATTCAAGTATTACCTTAATAAAGATATTTATAATATTATTTTGATTTTGAACTTGAATATTAATTATGAATAAAGAATGAAAATTTTTTGAGATTCCCCTCACTTCACATGATTCTAAAAACCAAACTTTAAAGTTTCCCAGGTTAAATTTTAAATTATTAATTATAAAAATTGAAACTTAATCTAGAATTAGTTCTAACGATATTAGAGTTAATAAGGAATCTTTATATGAGATAATAGATTGAAGAAAAAAAAATGAAAGGAAAAAGAAATTGATGTGGGCTACATAATAGGGAACAAAGTGTAATGTGGTAGGTACATCGTCGATTCGATGCTTTTCGTTCCATGCTTCCTTTCCTTGGGTCATCCACAATCACTGCATAAATCTCGACCTCACCATTATTTTTTTTTTTTCTCTAACATGTTTAAAATAAAATAAAATCAAAGTATATATTATAAACTAAGAAAGGGATAGAAACAATAATCACAGTAATTCATAAACTAAGAAAAATACGAAGAAAAAAATTTATCAAAAAATTGTTACGAGCATTTCTAGCGGTGTACCAAAAAAAAATTAAAAAAATTATATATATATATATATATATATATATATATATTATTTTGTTAAATTTATTATTAAATATGTGAAAAAAAATTATTTTACCCATAATATTATATATTTGAATTCTTTAATCATTGTTTTATGATAAATATGTGTAACTAAAAATGAAAAAATATATATCACTTGACTTGAAAAATAATTACTTCACTTATTTATATCTATCACAACGACGGACATATATATATATATATATATATATATATATATATATATATATATATATATATATATATATATATATATATATATATGAATAATCTCTTAATTTTATTAAAATTATTATTAAGTATATAAAAAGATTTATTTTACTCCTCTAATCTTGTATACTTAAACTTGTTGATTATTACTACTCTATAATAAATCTTTATGTAAGTGAGAATATATAAATACATTACTTAATTTAAAAATTAAAATATTTCTCTCATTTTAGATCCACAATTTTTTTAAACATCAATTTTGAATATTTGTTTTTATTAATTAGATGTTTTGGAAAAACCTTGATAGTAGATAAGAAGGTATATATAATATATATTAATATTATGTGCATTTAAATCATGATATAGTTATAATAATAACAACCAAAAAAAATGCTTGATATTATATAGAAGGTTTTTTCCCAGAAAGTGGTAAGAAAATGACTTTCCACCTTATAAGTTTTGGTCTTATTTTCTTTTTTGCTGAACATACACATATATAGTCCTCCCCACATATCTTTTTCAGGAAACTATGATTAAAGTAAATTGGACCACTGTGTATCACTAATATCTCTGTGCCTACTTCTGCAAATAACTATTTAATGTCTTTTACTTATATACCCTTACTTGCATAAACTTTTATACCAAGGAAAGAACCTTTTGAAAAGAGAAGACATTTATATTTTATAAATGTTTGTCTAGAATTTTACAACATTACATAAAAATCAGGTTATTTTTTCTATAAATTATATATAGTTATATGTTGTTTTTGGTCCTTCAATGTATTCTGTTTTACTTTTGATCCTTATTCTTTTTTTTTTTTGCTTTGGTCCTTGTATTTTTGTTTTTGGTCTCTAGAATATTTTGTTTATTTGGAATTAGTAAGTACTTGATAGGGCCAAAAACCATATTATTATATTACATAGGGACTAAAAAAAGAAACTAACACGAAATAACAAATAGAATTAAAAAAGTTATAGAAGCCAAATATTAAAAAAAATATTTAAGATACAATTATATTTAAGGACCAAGATAATCGATTAATATTACATATATGCAGGCTCATATGTTTTTGCTACTTTAATTAATCAAAATATCAAAAGGGTTTGTGAAACTCATGCTCAAATACAAGATTGTGTTGAGTTTAGGGTAGTTTTCATTAAACCCTAAAAATATATCTTAAAATATGAATTACTTAAGCAAAAAGGCTAAAAGGGTCTTGTAGTATAAATTAATTGGTGCTTAATATTTGTGTAAGTACTTGTACGAAATGCACTTAAAGTACATATTTTCAACAACTCATACTGCAGGCAATATGTCTTGAAAGGGAGAGAAATTAAGAAAGAAATATTAAGAACATATATCAAAGTACATAAAAAAAAAATTCATATGAATATTAATTTCAGCATTTCAGGTGCAAGTTGATCGAGTATGTTTTTTCAACCAAAAAAGCTTTTTCTTTTCTCTTTTTCCCCACATGCACAATAATGCAAGTAGGTATATGCAATTAAACATGGTCCCATGGAACGTGATCAATGAAGAGATTCATCAGATCCACCTAATTTATATCATTCGGATCAAGTTCTTGGATTGAAATTTGACTTCATTAAGAATTTTTTTTTGCCAAAAGGTTAGACACTTTCATTTATTAATTAAAACCCTAAAATAGGATAAACAAAATCCCAAAATTGCTTTAGTTAGAGGATTCATGTCCAAGATTTCCTAATTAATCCAATATCTTTGCAACTTATATGAGTATTTTGAATAATTTTCTTCCTTCTATAAAAGAGAGCAAAATAATTTTTTTTTCATAAACCAAAAATTATTAATAAATCAAATAAAAATCATTTTTTCAATAAACTAAGAGAAAATTTATTTAAACACTTTTTGAAAATAGATACAAGATAATAATTTTAATGTTAAAAAAACATTCGAAAAAGTTTATTTTATTATACACTTATTCAGAATAGATAAAAGATAATATTTTTAATAATTATTATATATGAATCATTATTAAAAAATATATTGTGATAATTTTAAAATTATTTTTAATTTTTTAAATTATAAATAAACATAATTTATTAAATCATTCATTATTATTAGATAACCCAGATTTTAGTGAATTCAAGATACATATATTGGTCCATGCATATTTCACATAATGGTGGATATTGAGGGCCACACTATTTTATTTAGTGTGAAGGGACATATTATGCTTTTTAGATTTCCATTCATTTGAAGTTTACAACACTAGGAATATCACATTACTTCTTTCCATGATTAATTAAACACTTGAAGGAGGAAAAAATAATTAATGTGTAGTTTAACATAGTTTAATTAAGGTTTTGTTTGAATAAATTTCCATATGAATAATCATAGAAGAAGAAATGTATAAAAAACATTTTTCTTTTTAAATAAAGGTAATTTATACTATATAAATTTAAGTTATTTTTAAACATAAATATTTTATTTTATATCTAAAGTAGTTTTAATGAATGGGAGAAATTTATTTTTTCTCCTTATTTTAACCTTTTCTAATAAAACTTGAATAATTACTAAAATTATGTAATTAGTTACATAAGTTAATTAAATAAAAGAAAAAAATATCAACATTTTTTCAATATTTTTAAAATCGGTTTAACTGGATTTAATAAAATAATATTTTTATAATATAATAAATTTATTAGTAATAATATTTTTATATAAAAAATAATAAAATTACAATTATAATAAGTTATAATAAAAATTATTAAAAAATAAAAAACAATAATTATAAAAATAAAATAAAAATATAATAAAATAAATATTATTTAAAATTAACCGTAGTTAAATATATTATATTTTTTATAAAAAAATTATATTAAAAACTTTGATCATAAATTTTTTCTTTTAAACCAAAATTCATCTAACCCAAAAATCTAATTGATTTTACTAGTTTTATCTCGATTTTTTTCATTATATCGATCTCAGTTTAATTAAAATATAATTATTTAAAAATAACAGGTTTCTAGTAGGATTTCTTGTTAAAATAGTAATTTTTGTCATACAGTAATTAGTGACTGAATTTGACATTATTTGATAAATTGGTAATTAAAATTAGGTATTTAGTAACTGTTTTTTACACAAGTAATTATATAATTGGTAGTTATACGAGGTCATTGGGAACTAAATTGTGATCCATATATTAGTAAAGTATTAGGTTGGTGGTGGTTGATAAAACTAGTTTCTCATGCTAAAATTATACGTAAATAATACTTTGAGAAACCTTAAAAAAATATATCTAATAGAAAATCTAATATAATAATAAAATGTATTATTATATCATATTTTTTAATGATAACCAATATATACTTTTTTAAAATGTTTGATATATATGGGATCCGATTATTAGAAGTTTCTTTTATTTTTATCTTTTTACAAAAAATAGATAAATAATTTGGAAGTAAAAAAAAATATGAGGAAATTAAACCTGAATTTGTTGTAAATTTTAAAAGGAAAATGAAAACAAAGAGACGTAGAGAAATAGGAATTGAATTTGTAGATATCTTCATAACAAAAGTACTAGACGTTTGTCTTCTTAGATAAAGAGTATCTAAAAAAGAATGATAAGAAATCTCAATCGAAGTGATAGAGAGTCAAAGAAAAAAAAAACTAAGACGAAGAAGAAAAGAAAAATAAATTGACAATGGAATTGAAAGAAATCTTCACATTATTTGAGGATTTAACAGTTAGATATCAATGAATTTGATTGCTACTACTAATAATATGCATTAACACCTTGAAGATATTGTTAGTTAAAGAGTATAAGAATAAAATATAACATTATCATATCATACATCTCTTACATCAAAAATATATTTGAAAAACCCTAAAATTTTAACATGTGAATCTTTTATGTATATATAACTCAATTTTCTTATTTTTATCTAACATGAAATTTCAACTCGTTTTTGAAATTTAGCAATTAAGAACAACACATTAATCTTTTAACCATTGATAACAAAATTCCAGAAATAGCGTGGTCAAAGCTTGAACCAATGAAAATGATAACTTAAGCAGCTTCTGAACTGGGCTTTTAACAACTATATATAATAAATATATATACAACATGAATTTGTTAATATTATTGTTACAAAATAAAACTTAAGAGTTTGCATATTATTAAGATTTTATTCTACACGTTTTTTATCCCAAAGAAAATAAGTCACCATCGGGTAGAATATTTAATTCGCATATTTGAGAATAACAACAATATTTGGCACATATCTTTTCAATGATTTTGTCTCGATTACGAATCACAATTATTGCTGTGCCATTAATTTCGAATTGCATTTTTAATAATTTTTTAACAAAGTCAATTAAATTTATCGGATTCGGTTAAGTTAGGTAAAAAAAAAGAATCCATTGGACAAAACTCAATTTAATCTAATTATAATTTAATTGGATTGAGTCCTTGAGTTATTTAAAAATTAAAAATAATCTAAATAAATTATATGGTTATTATTTTTTTTCTCTCTTTATTTTATACGCTTAATTTGAGTTTTTGGACGGATTATTTGACTCATAACTTGACCTTTTCTTATAATGTGGATAATTTGGATTTCTTGAGCATCATTTTGATATCACATCCATGAAAACGAGATTAGGGTTAATTTATTATAATGTGTCAATGTTTTGTGTCTCTCTTTAATCACAAAGCAGGATCATCATTAATTGGTCCCAGATTTGTCATTTCATGTTCAAATCAAGTCTATGTATCTCAACATTTGTCCCACCTTAATCCTTAAAATCCCACTAACTTTCATGCTCTTTTTCAGTTTAAGATATATACATGACTAAGGACAAACCTTAATCTTAGTATTATATGTGTCGTTGATGTTGATTTATGATCACAATTCAAGTTTTATTTAATAGTTTATATAATAAAACAAATTATTAAACATGATCATGTATAACTAAAGTAAAATTTTAAATTTAATTACAAAATACTTGTAACCATATTATTAATGTTTTATCTAAGTTTTTTAATTATATCTTAAGTGAACTTGAGACAAAAAAGAATAGTCTTGTAATTTGGAAATAAAATTATATTCCAAAGTTTTGAAATACGAGGAACATGACTTGTCTCATTAAATCAAATTCAGAGAGACATGATAAGAAAAGTCTTTGTTTTTGTCTCTTTTTTTTTTTAATTCTTTGGATTTAGCTTCTTAATATGTTCCTATGCCGACAACATCAATTCATTAATATTGAAATCAAATATTCAATGACATTATTAACTTGTGATTTAAAATCAAGGTAAACTAATTGGGCTTTTATTTTCGGTCCAAGTCCAACTTCCTTATGGGCCCTATATAGTATAAAGACACATTCTTCTTGTAACTTCGTATTTTCTTTCTACAACCCCATATTTATATGAAGAAATAATAATATCCTTTATTTTATTAAACGAGTAATCCAAAAACATATTATTAAAATTTTAGAAGAACTTCGGATGAATGGATTCGAAAAATATTTAAATTTTTAAGTTTGAATTATGAAATCCAAAATATAATTTTATCATTCTGAAAAGTTAAAAAAATAATAATAACAAATTGTATATATATGATTTAAGTTTTGGATTCACTTTTCTCAATTTTTTTCAGAATAAACTTTCTGAAAAGATCATTCTGAAATATTTTTGGAAATTTTATTCCAAAAAGTCTTTGAAATAATGAATCCTTAAAATAAGTACAATATTATTTTTTTAAGACGAAAATAAAGTGTAAGAAGAAAATATGGAGGTGTAAAAAGAAAAAACCTAGTATATATGGGTTTAAAGTTCAGACCCGAGATCGGCCCATAAATTTTGTTCACCATTGTAGTCTGTAAAGGCCTACATTTTTGCAATTCTTATTTACATTTATAATTTCATTAATATACTTTTGTTGTATATTTTTTCCAAAATTATTAAAATTTCATATTTCTGGAAAGTATTTTCCACGAAGAAGTGTTAAAATTTTAATGCTTAATTATCCTTTTTGGTTATATTATTTTATTGAATTTAGTTTTATTATTAATAAAATTTTAATCAAGTCACCGATTTTTAAAACAAAACAATTTGATCATTTTCCATCCAGTTAATAGTAAAATTATTAATAAATCGATGTTGAGGTTTTAATTTACATATAACGTAATTCATAAATAATGCATAGTAATAATTTATAAATTTAACAATATTAATTTCAATCGAGGAACTCATATTTGTTACGTTTGAAAAAAAAATGAAGAATTTAATTGAATTTGAGAAATTACACTCTATCACATTTTTTAAACTTAAGGACTTAATTGATAATTTAATTAATAAAGAAATTAAATGAAAAGGTTATCCTTTAAAGATAATTGATACTTCTTTTTTAGAAAATTGAATTTCAAAATTACTTTATAAAATATAGAGAATTTTTTCATTTCGAAGAGTATTTTTTAGAGGAAAAACATGTTCTAAACAATATATAAAAATATATTAATAAGATGTAAATTACAACTTTCTAATCATTTTGACCAAAAAAATTCAATAGCATTTTACACAATATATATATATAATTAAACTTAATTGTATAAAAAATATGAAGGATTGAACATAAAATTAACCAAAATATTTTTAACTATTTATATACTATTTGATTAAGACCACTCCCAAGCCCAAATTTCCAAAGCTCACGTTAGCCCAACAAATAACAGGCTTTAACCAGACACTTATGCAGCACAATAGAATATCCCTAAAAATATATAAAAATAAAAATAAAATTATCAATAATCTATAGTTATACATAATGAGGATTCTTTTATCATCTGATATAAAAAATAAAAATATCATAATTCAAAGTGAAAATAATTATTATGATTTTTATATTTAAAAAATAATAAATATATAAGAGAAAAAACCTGAAAAAAATAAAATTAAAAAATTATATAAAAAATATGAATATTTAGTGCATGTGTTTCTACTAGTTATATATAATGAAGATTTTTTTTCCATTAGTTATATATAACGAGATTTTCTTTTATAATTATTTTTTATGATATGGAAGAAAACTAAATAAATATATCATAATTTAAAAAATAATAAATATATAAGAGAAAAATATATGATACGTAATTAGTGAAAAAATAAATCCACTTAAAAAATAAGAAAAAAAAGTATAGTATAAAAATGTATTTTAAAAAAAATAATTATTTTAAAAAAATGTGAAGACGCTTTAACTTTAGGGTGTGTTTATATTAGTGATAATAAAAGATACATTGCCATCAAATTGTTCTTTCTAGCAACAAGACAATTTAGAACAAATCGAAATTAGAGCTTTGATTGATTGAACATTTGGTTCTCACTCTCTTGTGTGTGGCTCTTTATGGATGCACATATTCTTATCATATCCACAAATGTTGCCTCAAATTATTATTGTTTCCCCATAATCCAAATATTCACTGTTTTTTTTCCTCCATCTCTTACTTTTCTCCTTCTTTAAATGTAAAAACTTTAATCATGCAATTTTTTTAATAATGTTGATTTGGTTTTAATCTTTTTTTATTTTAATATTGTGACATGATTTCGTGTTTTTCTCTTTCTCCACAAAATACATTTTCATACATTACCAGTAGAACCAAATCCCTAGTTAGGGTTTTAAATAATAAACAAAATTCTTATTATTCTTATTAGATTAGAGTATTTTCTCATAAGACTTCTTTAAAAATGAAAACATTATTTCAATATAAATCTTATATAGTTATTTAAAATATATTTATATTAATATTGTTCTTTAATTTTTATATAACTCAATATATATCGAATTCATATTAAAAAAAAACTTTTATTTTGCAAATAAACTTGCAAGTAAGAGAGGTTCTTATATTAAGGATAAATTATTACATCAACTTAAGAAAGATAATTTTTTTTCTTGACTTAAATACAAACAATAACTGTAGAATAAAATTAAATATAAATAAATCTAATCAATTATAGGATGAATTTAAATATAAACAAATCTAAATAAATTTTACCTTATTTATATTTTTATAATTTAATGATTATTCTTAAACAACTATATGAGAATATTTTTATAACAATTTGTAAGAGATAAGTTTCATACGAATTTAAATAAATTTGTTAAAAAAATTTGCAGAAAATAAATAATTTTTTATCAGTGTCTTTATACACTACTAATTTTGTTTTTAATGGTTTATTTTAATTTCATCCAGTGAGGGAACTTTTAAAAATTATTTTTGGATAAAACATACTAAAATTACATAATACTAACTGATATTTTTTTAATTAGATTAAAATTAGTTAATTTTAATGAATTTAATTTTTGAAATTATTTAAGTTATATAAGTTTAATCATTTTTATATCTAAATTTGATATTCAGTGACAAATTTGTATTATTATATGAAAGAATTAAATTCGTATATTTTATATAAATAACTTAAATTTATCAATTTAAAATTATAAGTTTAATACTAAATAGAAAGTCTGAAACACATTTTCTCTTAAAAGAATTTTGAAAAAAATAATGAATGATTTATACAGTGAATCTGTTTTGGTTTTAAGCTTTTAAAATAAGATTTATGTCATGAAAAAAAATTTAAATACATGTTTTTTTTTCTTGCTTTGGACACATTGATATAGATAATAAATAATACACATTAGTCAACAGTGTGCAGTTCCCAATTCCCATGTCAGTTCCTCTAGATTCTCAACATGAAAGCCATTTGTCCTTTACCAATCAAATATTTATGAGGCTTTAACACCAAAGATATGGCTGTTGGATCCACACCTCTGCAATTGTCATTATCACTGCATTATAACCATTGGACAACCATTTTAACCAAACATATTTTAACATCTCCTACCACTTCCATTCTTGCCTTCTTCACCTCTACATTCAACTTGCATAAATGATACAGATGCCTGTAAAAAAAAACCCTAATACACTTCTAGTTTGGAGCTCGATTCATATGTATGAATCAACTGATACATACTGTTACAAACTAACACAAGGGAAGGAGCAACATTTATGTTATCATCTAGTTATTGAACTAGATTAATGAACTTTGTAAATGGTATCATAATCATTCAAATATAATAAGGTTCTAAGCATATCGAAATCAAACTAATGATATTATGTAGAACAGTTGATAGAATGTTACTGTAGTGACCCCAAAACTGTGGGACACCCAAATTATGTGAGTGCAGTAGACATGGCAGCAATGTATTATATATAATGACTCCTAGAGATCCGTTTCTTCAAACCCTAGCAGAGATTTAAGGCCATGAGAGGATGTCAGAGTGAATTTCCTACCTTCATGTCACAGGAACTGAAAATGACCCTTTTTTTCTCTGTGGACTATTGTAATGAATAAGCAGAACCAATATATACTAATTAACAATATCATAAATTACTACTACAAATTATTTTCTGTATTAAAACTACAAAATTATTTATATATTATAAAAATATTAATTAGTAATTATAAATATAATATATAGCATCTTTTCATCGCTACATGCAAAGTGAAGAAAGGGTAGATAGGAAAATTTATGAAAATAAAATGAATGAGTAAAAATAGATAAAACAAATTTCAAAGTGTTTAGCAGAAAGATAAAGATAAGTGGAGATATCTAAATAAGATGAAACCTGAGTGAGTATTCATAGTATATTTTATTTTTAACATGATTTGTTCTATATTCAAAATGATGTTACTAGGATTCGAATATGGATCACTTGATTAAGTACAAAAATAGCAAATACTTTGACATTAACTACATATGTTTTAAGTAGTTTTATAAATATTTAAAAGTGTGGGGAGTCATTTAAAAATTATTACTTTTACTAATTTTTGTTATTAATATCGTTTGCTTATTCAACAAATGGAACGTATGAGAAGATGTTTTCCATGGGTTCATTGTAAATAAATTTGTACTACTTTTTATCAATTAAAAGATAATATTTTTAAAAATATCTTTCACTTAATTGAGATTCTATTTTTAGTTACTTTTTTTTCATTTTTAACATGAATTTTATAATTTAGAAAAAAATATTTTCTGAATGTCATTAACGAAAGATTAAATATAAAAGTTACAGTTATTTCGTAGTAGGTATAAATTAGGAGAATTTAAAATTAAATAGATAAAAATTAAAATATGGTAAAATTTTGTATTATAAATTTTAACTAGTAGAATTATGTATTTTAATTTATGAATATAATAATAATAATTATGGAAAATATTTAAATATTCATTATTTTACTTAACATTGAAATATTTTATTTTTTAAAGATTTGTATTTATAATACTTGTTTCATTTCGTTTTACATTTTCTTTTAAAAAATATATTAATTAATGCTATCACCTATGAATAATTTGTTTGACTTTTATACTAAAATAATATTATTATATTATATATATACGTAAAACATCTAATGAAATTATTTACTTAATTGAATCTCTTATAAAATTATTTATTTAACTGAATTTCTTTTAATATTGTACTTGAAATTAAGTTTCCCGTAAACCGAATTCCAACTTTAAACTTACAACTTTTTTTTAAATAAAATATATAATTAAATATAATAAAATTAATATTAAAAATAAAATTTTAATTTTAAATTTTAAATAATATTTATATAAAAAATAATAAAAATAATATATTATTTAAATATATATTAAAGTATTTAAATATATTTAAATATTTATTAAAAATATTAAATAATAAATTTTTATTATATTTTTTTATATTTTTGAATAGGAAATTTAAAATTTATATATTTTTTTATTATATGAATTATTTAAGTTATAATTTTAGAAAAAAATAAAATAAATAAAAATTTAATTTAGGTAATATATTAAAAAATTAAATATTATATTATAAAAATTTATGTAATAGTTTTTATTTGATAAATTATAAATATTATATTAAAAAATTCATGCTAAAATTAATTTTTTAAAATAATAAAGTAAAAATATTATTTAATTAGTTAAAAATTATTATTATTAATATAAAATAAACTTAAAAATAAAAAATAATAAAAATTGACAGAATTTAATGTATAATATTAAAAATAACATAATCATTGATAATAAAAATTGAAAAATAAAGTTATTGACAATAATGTTAAGAAAATTTTAATCTCAAAAGTGGTGTCCAGTTCCACAACGAGGACGACGCCTATTACGCTTTGGATTTAGTCGATGTGGTTGTTCTTGAATTTCAGGAGAAATTGGTAGAGGATTTTCTTCTTCATAAACTTCTATTATTTTCACTCTATAAAAATCTTTCTACCTTTATTATTTTTCTTTAATATCATGTTCTATAATTTTCATTTTGCTACTAATAACTTATTTTTAATTTTACTTTTAATATTTTATATATTAAATTTATCAATTTTTTTCTAAAATTATAACTTAAATAATTCATATAATAAAAAAATATATAAATTTTAAATTTCCTATTAAAAAATAATAAAAATATATAAAAAAATATAATAAAAAATTATTATTTAATATTTTTAATAATTATTTAAATATATTTAAATAATTTAATATATATTTAAATAATATATTATTTTTATTATTTTTTATATAAATATTATTTAAATTTTAAAATTAAAATTTTATTTTTAATATTAATTTTATTATTTTTAATTATATATTTTATTTAAAAAAAAGTGGTAAGTTTAAAGTTGGAATTCGAGAAACCAAATTCCAAGTACAATAATAAAAGAAATTCAGTTAAATAAATAATTTTATGAGAGATTCACTTAAGGAAATAGTTTTATCACATATTCTGGTACGTATATATATAATATAATAATATTATTTTAGTAAAAAAAAGTCTAATTTGTTTTTGTTTCTAATTTATTTTCATATTAATTATTATCTTTGTATGTATGTGTTGAAAAAGTAACAATGGTTAGATAAAATCGTCTAAAAACTAAGGTATTTATTCTTGTTCTTCTGTGGGAAAATTTTCAAAAGACTAGTGATTTTGAGACTGAGGAAATATCTTCTCAATAATGTATTTATTATTTTAATATCAAAATACAAATAAAATTGAATAACATTAACTAATGTTTTAGTTGGTAGAACAAAAGAAAAAGAAAAGAGTTAGAATAGAAGGCATGGTTATTATGCACATTGGCATGTGATTAATATAATAATTGATACCCCCATAATAATAGATTACTTTGTCCTCAAGGTACAAACCTCATCATATCCCACATATCTACATCTAAAAAGAGAAAAAGAAAAAAAAAACAAAGCATGAGATTAATGGGAGCCAAACATAATTATCACCCCACACAAGGGCATATTTATCAAATAAAAAACAATAATCTCTCTCTGAATCTCTCATATGTGATGATGTTGTAGCTGCAACAGTCTAGAATATGCCCCCTCTGGCCTGCTGAAAAGTTCTGCATGGCTACCTTGCTCCACAATGCGTCCATCTTGAACAACTCCGATGCAATCCACTCCTCTAATGGTTGACAAACGATGAGCCACAAGCACTGTGGTGCGACCCCTCATTAGCCTCTCCAAGGCTTCTTGTAGCACACACTCAGACTCAGCATCTAGGGCACTCGTGGCCTCATCCAGCAGAAGAATTGTAGGGTCCTTAAGCACTGCCCTAGCAATAGCAATCCTTTGCTTCTGCCCTCCAGAAAGTTGCACTCCTCTCTCACCAACAGGTGTCTTGTAACCTTCAGGCAAACCACTCACAAATCCATGCACATTGGCTGCACGTGCAGCCTCTATAACCTCAGCCTCAGTTGCACCATCTTTCCCATATGCAATGTTCTCAAAAATGCTTGCTGCAAAAAGTGCTGGCTCTTGCTGCACCAACCCTATCTTCAGCCTCAAAGACTTCAGGTTCAACTTCCTTATGTCCTTCCCATCCACCATTACTTTCCCAGCAATAGGGTCATAGAATCTCTCTATTAATGCAATCACAGAACTCTTTCCTGATCCACTTGCCCCCACAAGTGCTTGGCTCTGCCCTGCCCGGATCCTCAGATTCAAATCCTTGAACACCATCACATCAGGCCTTGAAGGGTATGCAAAATCAACATGCCTCAGCTCAATCTCCCCGCGAAGCGATTCCACTGGCTCAGCATCAGGATCATCAGGGTCAATCCTTGTAGAGCGATCAAGGATTGAGAACACTGAACCAACGGCCTCACCGCCGCGGATTATCTCCGGCGCGAGGCTGACGGTTTCTGCCACTGAATTCGCGGTGATCACAAGAACCACAAACACCTTGATGACCTTCGAGAAGGTTGAAGCACCTTTGCTCACCAAGTGTGCACCATACCATAGAATGAGAGCCTCCGAGGCATAGAGGGCAAGCTGGGAGAGGCCGAACAAGAAACCGGATGTGAGGCTCCGGCGTAGACTCTGGCGCTGAGGCACACGAAGCTCATTGCAGAACACAGATAACATCTTGGTTTGAGCATTGAATGCTGCAACTGTTCTGATGTTGCTCACTCCCTCTCCTGCTATCATACTCGTCTTTGCATGAGCCTTGGCCGTGTCTCCAGCAAACCCTTTCAGAGATAGTTGCTGCAGAATCAATACACAGAGAAACATTAGCACTGAATCAAACAGCAGCATAAAGTCCAACGTAAACCAAGTCACCTGATTTTGATAATGTAACAACAATTTATACTAGTAACACATAATCATGAAATTTTAAAGTTTAAAAATTATGTAGTTACAATTTCTATTTAAAGAGTGACACTCATGATATTTTTTTAAATTCATTTAAATTTCTACAAGAACATTAAGCATACAGAACTTTAGAAACACTAAGAACATGTTTGATTTATATTTTACATTTTCTGAAACCATTGAGTTAGATTAAAAAAATGATATTTACTGAAAAAGAGTGACATAATAATTATAGAATCCAAATATTGAAAGGTAAAAAAAGTTTTTTCAATAAAACCAACCCCTAGTTTTCTCATAATTCTTTGTAAAACTTTCTTTTTGCATGTATAGTAATAAGAGCAATTTGTGGGGGAATTTTCACACCCTTTGAACCTATGTCACTGGTTCTGTGGCCTACTGAATCCATGCAAGGCATGCGGGTGTAACAAATACTAACTGTAAGGATAACGGTAAAACATTAATAATTGAAGACATGTTTCTGCCAAGATTGGACAAAGGGATTTTGGTAATTTCAGAGACTGCACTATTCATTTTTGGTAAAAAGTTTCATTTGGGGTGAATGAATTCACCAAGATCCACCGAAAAGAAGCATATGGGCCAAATGGGTGGACCCAGAGAGGAGAGAGAATGTGCATGTTCATCTAGCACACATTACATGACCACCTACTACATTAAAAGACATTGATGGATAATAAGGTACATGTCCTAATCAATCAGTCAATTTTTCTTGCCCTGTGCCTATATCATGCGCAGAATGTAGAACACTACCCTTAACAGTATTAAATTAGAATAGTGATTGTTACTATTAGTTTGAAAATGATGCCTCTAAATGTGATGCTACTTTTTTTTCAAATATTAATTAATGTGTCACCCTATGTACCAAAGGTGTTAGTGTGACGCAGAAGTGTTAACTTTGATTAAAAAAGTTAGCCCATATGAAAAGTAAGAAAATTTAAATTTTTTTTGTCTAAATTTACCTTTTAACTTTGCATGCTTTTCCGTGGAAATCACCAACGAAAGAAGAAACTTTGACTCTTTTGCATGTGCACAATAAAAAAGCTTTGATTTTTGCATGAAAAGAAAACTAATATTTTTACATGAAATAAAACAAAAGTTACATCAAATGGCAAAACCCAAAATTAGTGAAACTGAGCTTGTTTGACTGTGTTCGATTTCTTTTTTATTTTTCAAATTTATTTTGAAAAACAATTTTTAAATACTGCCTTCGAAATAAAAAAAATTATATGATAAAGATTTTTCTAAGTAACAAATGAATATATATGTATATAAATTATTTCTTTACTTTCTTCCATGTCTACCTTTCCAAACAAATTAGACTGAGGAGAAATGTGCATTCCAAAAGCAAGATAGTAGAAAGTCCATGTGAGACTATCTCTAGAATCACTCACATGCATGCCCTAATTAAACAACTGAGATGTTATCCATATGCAGCTAAACCATGTAAACGCTGCAAGACCCACATGGTCTCACGTGCATGGTCAACAATCTGTAATGACTTAAAAAAACTCACCTACAAGTATTTTCCACCCATTAATCCTCAGTATGAATATGCTGCATACATGTGCGTGCACTTACCAGTGAGTGAGAAATATTTACTGAAGTACTCTCTATATACACAGTTTAAGAAAGTAAAAATTGTAACTAGATAAAATACCCTTCCCACCACAAAAAGTGAATAAATAAATTTTTACACATTTGATATTAATCAAAATTTTAACTCACTGTTAAGATACTAATATAGTATTAGTGGGTGTACTTGAACAAAATACTAAATATATATAATATAAAAGATTATGGTTGAAGGTCACATGTCTAGGACCTGAAAAAGACTGGAACCGATCACGGGTGGGGAGCTAAAAATAAAAGTTCAGATTCCCAGACAAACTAAAAGGTTTGGGGTTTGTAGGAAATATATGAATAATAAAATGAGTGCAATGAAGTTTCCTCTTGCAGTGCCCCAAAAATATTGTTAAAAAACTAGTCTAGCTATGCAAGGATTTTCTGACAATGAAGAGCTTGGGGTTTTCTGTCTTTGATGAAATATTTCTTTATATATTAAAATAATATTCCATATACAGTTGGCAGAAATACTCCACAATAATATAATAATAATAGTTGAACAAGTGCAAGACCAGTCTCAGGTATGGAATCTGCACCAATCAAATAAATTATTGTTTTTTAATGGCCATTATTAATGAACTTTTAATACACCAATATGAGTTATTGCACTAGTCTTGGAAGGAAGCACGTGCACTGTTCAACTTTGTGAGGAACTTTGTTGTTTTAGCTTTTGTCGTCTAATGCCAGCTTGGATGTGAAGTTATATTCTCAGTGTAAAAGGGCAAGGGTATATTGTCTTCCTCTTACACTTTATTTATACCAGTTTAAGATTTTGATAAAAGATATTAAAAAACATAACTAATATTTTTAGTTTCATTAGATATGTTATGTATAACCTTTTACCATATCTGTTATCTCTCTTATTATTTATTTGCAGTACTCTCACTAAGTGTAGTCTTAGGAAAAACATATTTGATGCATCTTTTGCAAAACGATAATGAATTTAGAGCATGAAAGAGAATGAATATGCTGGACACACAGAAAAAAACTGTTTCCTAGAGATTGAGAAAATCCAGTATGCATATTATCTATCCCTGACAATCTCTAAACTCTACAATAAATTGAAAGTGTGTCGTATACAATGTCTCATAGAGAACCGTTGCTTCAAATTCTAGCAGAGGTTCAGGGCCATGAGAGGATGTCAGGGAGAGGAGAGAAAACAAAAAGGTCAGGAAAATTACCAAGCTTCATGTCACAAGGAAGTGAGAAGGGGCCCTTTTTCTGTGTAGTGAATAAGCCAAAGTATGGTGAAGGCAGTGTTGTTTAGTGTGCATGAGTTAGCCAGAAGAACAGTGATTGTTTGTTGTGATTTATTTATTAATGTTCAGCACTGGCACCAAGAAGAGAGAGTATTGAAATTTGCAGAATCTCAATAATCAAACCCCATATCCCAAGCACAAAAATGGGGTGTGGCCTTGCCAGAAGACAAGGGGCTAGTAGCTAGCTGGAGTCTTCAGAATCTGACTTTCCCATACTATACCATATGGTCAAAAATGTAAGACTCATTAGTCACTACAACCTCACAGCAAAAGCTGATACAAGCTTCTGTACACGTACCATTCAAGAATCTAACTTGAATACGTAGAGGACCCTACCCCCCAACTGAGAAAAAATTGCAGTGCTGTTGTTGCACCATTAAGCCCTCTATCATCCACATGCACTGTAATCTCTGTCATGGTTGAATTTGGGAATTTGGGCCCTATCTCTTCATGGTGTACTTCATTATGTTATTTCAATTCCAAAGGGTTGGAATGGTCATTTCATCAAAACTTATTTCAATGTGTGCTATATAGATAAAATACATAAATGCAATTTATTCAGTATTTTTGGTGTTCTTCTATTATGAAGTTGAATTTCACATTGTTAACCTACATGATTTTCAGTGTTAACAAATTTATTATAAAAATTTCGGATGTGAAACTCTAAATTTAATTAAAAAAAAAAAGTGAACTTCTAAAAAATCTGTGATTTAAGTTGTGTTGTCAATTTGAAGTACAATTTCACTTAGTTAAAAAAGTGAGCTTTAAATGGCCATTATTAATGAGATTTTAATAGACCAATATAAGTTATTATTTCCCAGAAGTTAATGCACTGGACTTGGAAGGAAGTGCACAGTTCAACTTAGTGTGGCTCTTTGTTGTTTTAGCTTTTGTCGTTTAATGCCAGCTTGTGTGCCAAGTTAGATTCTTACAGTGTAAAAGGGTAAGTGTAAGGTAGGAATTTTGGGTAAAAATCTATAGTTACCTCTGGCCCCACCACAATATATATCTTAGGTCAACACATGCAAATAACAAGAAGACAATTTTGTAAGTTCACTAACTTCACAATCCTTAAACATTTTTTTATGGTCTTGGATGAAGGAAAGTGGTACAAAATTTTTGCATCAAAACTTGGGTCTAATTTTTTATTTTATATATATATATATATATATATACCTAGTCTTGGTATTAAATTATGTGACATGAAGATATGTTGGGTATAGAATATGAGGAGGATGATAGAATTAGTTTACCTGAGCAAAATTGGCTAGCACAAGGAGAGGGAAGGTTGCCAAGATGAGCAAGGAAACCCTCCATTCCACTATGAAAGCAACTATAAAAGAAGTAAGGAGAGATGTCATGTTCTGCAAAATCACTGATATCCTCTCAGCAATTGCAGACTTGACATCAGCTGCATCAGTGGCAAGGCGAGCTGCAACAAGGCTTGAGTTGTGCTCCTCCTCATCGAACCATCCAACTTCATTCCTCAAAATAGCTAACAAAGTACAAATACCAAAATTTAAGTGTTTGTTTGCTTTAACTTAAAAAAGATAGAATACCCCCCTGTTATTTTTACTAGATTTTTTAATAAGGACAAAAGTTACTTACATGTTTTTAGTACTAACCTCATCCAATCAGAATTAGAATTGCATGCATCTTGGTATTCATTATAATAAAAGGTTGCATACAAAATGAAACTTCAATTTTGATTGACTTAAGAAACTATCAACATAGATTTTAATCTTTCAAAAAGTGTTGAAATAAAATGTAAGATCAAGGATCAAGGTAAGGTAGAGAATCACACAAACACAAAATAAACCATACCGGCAAGCATCATTCTTCTGACCCTTGTGGTGAGGTTTTCTCCCATGATACTAAAGAAGTAATGTTGTATCAAGTATGCACCAACTGCATAGAGACCGGCACCAATGTAAATGAAGACATATTCCTTAGTCTTCCTCTCCATGGAAGCATAATTTCTAAAGTAAAAGACCTCAATCATGTTGCTCATAACAATTGCAAAAGTTGGGCCAATGAATCCAGAAAGAACAGAACCAACAGCTCCCATGATTGAGTAAGGCCACTCAGGAGCATTCAACTTGAGCAACCTGAAGAAATATCCATCTGGAGCAGGATTTTTCTTATCTGTTTCAGCATTTGATATCATCTCAATACGACCATCGGCGCCAGTGCTATACTGGTAGCTCAAGTTCCTCAGGCTTCCAGACCTGAGGCTCAAGGACTTCGTTGACAATGAATGGCTCAATCGTGATGACCGAGTCCGACGAGTTGATGGGTTAGAGAAGTCTCTATTTCCAACCATTTCTTGGAACCGAATGAGTGAAGCATATGTGCCTGCCTTGGCAATGAGTTCTTCATGTGTGCCTGTCTCAACAACTTGTCCTTGTTGTATAACTGCAATGGTATCAACATTCCTTATGGTTGACAGCCGATGTGCAACAACCACAGTTGTTCTTCCAACCATGAGCCTGTCTAGTGCCTCTTGAACTATGCTTTCAGACCCTGCATCAAGAGCACTAGTTGCTTCATCTAATAGAAGGATCTTTGGGTTCTTCAACATGGCTCTGGCAATTGCAATTCTCTGCTTTTGGCCCCCAGACAATTGAACTCCTCGCTCTCCTACCTGGTGAAAAACAGAACATATTTTGATTCGCACACACACCCTTGACTAGAACTAAATGATCAATTTTAACACCCCACAAAAAATTGGTACAACTTAGTTATGCTTGAAAATTGTTATATTACAAACCTGAGTGTTATAGCCATTAGGAAGCAAGGTGATAAAACTATGAGCATTTGCAGCAGAAGTAGCAGCTTCCACTTCAGCCATTGTTGCATCAGGTTTTCCATAGAGTATATTCTCAAGAATGGTAGTTGCAAAGAGAGCAGGTTCTTGATTCACCAACCCAATTTGATCACGTAACCATTTTAGTTGTAGAGTCTTGATGTCCACGTTATCCAGCAGAACCTGACCTGCTTGGCCATTTCAAAGAGATTCACAGTTGTTAATCCAAAAATCAAAAGCTAAAAACTTAAATGCACTAGGATATTTAATTTGCTCATATAGAACCTTTGTAACAAAGAAATGTCATAGTACAAAATATTTGCTACTTCAAGAGAGTTCAGCGTGTTTAGTTACCTTCATTTGGATCATAGAACCTTTCTATCAAGGACACAACTGTGCTCTTTCCAGATCCACTGCCACCAACAACCGCAACAGTTTTTCCAGCAGGAAAAAAGATTGAGAAACTGCGAAAGATATACACATCCGGCCTCGAAGGGTAGCTGAAAGTAACATCCTTAAATTCAATGTTGCCATTAACCTCAGCTAGGCACTTCCCTTCTGATGGATCTTCCACTATGGTGGGTTTCTGTTTGATGATCTCCATCAATTTGTATCCTGCTGCTTTGCCTTTGCTGAAAGCACCTAAATTGGAAAAGGACTGTCCCAAACTCCTGTTGAAGCAAACCAACATGTCATGATCACATGAATGGTGTCTTTACAAAGTTAACACAGAATCATCAAAAGTTACTCAAATTAGGCCCTCACATGCCACCAACAATGGCTGAGAAAATAGCCGTGAATGCCTTGCCTCCATCTGTTTGTCCATTCCTGATGAAAACTCCAGCATACCAGAAAACCAGTGCCCAAGACATGCATGCTATTCCATATGTGCATCCTAGGCCTAAACCTTTGGCCATTCCTGCCTTGTATCCAAGTTTTAGAGTGTTTTGTATTGCATCAGAATAAGAATTCAGTGCCTTGCTCTCACCGACATAAGAGTAAACAGTTCTAACTTGAGCAATGGCCTGCACAAATTGCACATAAGGAAGACCAATTAGTCCCTACATTGATCTGTCACTAGTATTTTTCCATGGAGCCCATTTTAGAGCCAATGATTATGGAAATCAATGTCAAGGACAGATCTAAACAATCAAAAAAGAAGAAGCAATTTTAGGCACAGCATAATTTCGTTTCATGTACTTATTTGTAAGCAAGGACCATAGTTGGCATTAGAGCGACATAAGACCACAATCATCATCACCAAGCTTTTTGATTATTTTACTCACAAAAGAGAAAAGCTAGCTAGGAACTTTCATGAGTGCTCCACACGACATGACATCATTATCACACGCTAAAACAACCACTGAACTTGAAACAAGGCGCAAATTCATATGAAAGAAGAGCATGCGCTCCATGTACTAAAAAAAGTAAGAGGATCAAAATTCAAAAGGCTTTTGAACAACCCCATAAAACAAACAGGAAAAACCACAAACAAAAGGTACATAAAAGAACAGAACAAGAATAAAACAGAACCAGCTCAGCGAAGCCAATCATTCTTTTTTTTCAGTGGTTAACATTTAATCTTTTGTTGCTTCCATAAAAAGAAACATGTGCAACATTCATGCACATGACATGTTCAAGTTCTTCAACCAACAATCAACCTCACCTGCTCAGCTATTATTCCTGCATTTGCATAAGATTCACGACTCTTTGATGTGAGGCCAGTGAGTGTGTAAGCATACAATCCACCAGCAAAAGCAATCCCAGGAATCACTGCAACACTCAGAAGTGCAAGCCTCCATGCTGACACGAAACCAACCACTAGACCCGCCAGAAACGTTGATAGATAGTGTATGAAGTTCCCCACCTAAACAATCACAAAACGTTAAACTAACAAACATAAAACTACAAAACTCATGAAAAAGCAGCAACATCAACCATGTGACTAAACCCCGGCGCATGTTAAACCCTGCTTTCCTAACGTGCACCGTTTTGTTCTATCATCATCTATGGACCCCACTTCAGTGGTTATCAATCAGCAAGAAGGCCATGGTTTCTATATGTTCTTTTTTTCGTACCATGAAAGAATTTGCAACATTAGTGACTTAACCCGGCGCATTTAAACAATGTTTTGCTAACGTGCACCGCTTTGTTCTACTATCGTCTATGGACCCCACTTAAACAGAAATCAATCAACTACCCCCAGAAGGCCACGGTTTTTTCTATTTGTTTTCTTTCATCCCATGAAAGAGCTTCAACATCGGTTATATGAATTAGTCCCAGCGCACGTTAAGACGTGATTGGCTAACATGCGCCACCTTGTTCTATGATCATGTGTGGACCCCACTTTTCAATGGATATGAATCAACTACCCCATAAGGCCATGGTTTTCACTTGTGCTTTTTTTTTCAGACCATGAAGGAAAAAAATACACAAAGATGGCAAATTCAAAGCACCTTCTCGCTTATAGCATCTTGAACTAGTAGTGTATCTGTGGAGACACTGAAAACAATATCTCCTGTTCTTGCATCCGTGTCAAAGAAACCAACGTCCTGTTTAAGCACTGCTTCCAAGTACTTCTTTCTCAGTGTGCTCACTTGCCTCTCCCCAGTGTACATCCAGCATGCAATTTCTGGTTGGAAAGAAAAATCACCACCAAAAAATTATACAAAAATAACAAATAGTACTACATTCTTTTTAACTTTTTTCTCGTGTTACAAATTTGGTGCATGGAACTATGGAAGTGATTCAATTATTAATTAAGGTAATAGAAATGTGTACCAATCATTAACGGTAATAATACTACATGATAAAGATGAGAATGGAGTGATAGATAATGTTAGGCAGGAAAATCTGAACTGGTGAGATTGACAAGTGAAGGGAGAAAAGGACGAGTGTGTTTTGTTGACGCAACACGTGGGATCGATGTGAAATGGCAGAAGCAACAACAATCACACACGAAGTCTTAGAAGCAATGGTCCAATAAGTGTGATCGATCTTGTTCACAGATTAGGACCAACAAAACGGAGAGATAGAGAGAACAGAAAAAAAGTTGAAATTTTTTAGAGAAACATAGAAGGAAGGAAAGAAAATTAACATACCTGCATAGGATGATATGCAAACGACAAGGCCAAGGTACACGAAATAGAGAGCATACTGCAATCATGATCATGAGAGAAAGGTAAAGAAAAGAAGAGAAAAATAAATAGATCTTGGATCTGAGATGGTGTTGCTAGTAAGAAATATTGGTGTTGTTGAGAATTTGAACATTATATAATAATTTAATTGATTAACCTTTGATACTTCTTCTGTCATTTTCTTCAAGTCCATTTGGTTTTTGCCAAAGCCATTAACCATTTCACCAAAGAGGAGGAAGAAAACTGGCATTGATGAGCCATGAACAATGGCTCCCAAGCTGCCAGAGATCATGAGCATCCAATCACACTTGTCAGCAAACGAGAAGAGCTTGTAAAAGGGCAAAGTCTGCTCCTTCTTCTTCTCTGCCTCAGGCAATGCTTTAGGCTCCGCAGCTTCAGCCATGAGATAAAGTCACAAAAACACCCCCAAGAATGGAACACAGTTTCTGAGGTGAGGAGAGCAAAAGGGTGGAAACAAAATAGGATTTTTAGAGTGACTCGTGGCTCAATGCCATGAACAAGGAGATCTAGGCCTACTGTGGTGTGTAATGTGACTTTTTTCTGGACATTGAATGAAGGAGATCTGAAACAACAACCCCTTTTGCTATATACTCTCTTTTTTGCAGTGTCAATATCGTTTTTGGTTTTGTAAGTTTGGTTTGGCACACAGGGCAAAGAAGTTGAGAGAGAGAGAGAGAGAGAGAGAGAGAGTGTGTGTTGTTGGACAGTGGTCAAAGGAGGTTGGGAGAACAAGAGTTTGGGAAGAGAGAGAGGTGTGAAGTGTGGTTTTATAGAGTAAGTGGTTTGGTTTTAACTGTGGTTGTGAATTGGAGCATACGACGATGAATCACGGTTAAGTTGATAAAGCCACAAAGATAAAGGAATCGGCTGAATAATGTTATGGGGTTGTGTGCTGTGTCTGGTTTTTTTATTGTGGCACTCCTTTTCTTTTATTGGCGAAAAATCAAAGAATTGAATTGAACGTCAAAGATCTTAATTGATACTAATAACTATGGATTGATATTTTCAAAGTGGATAGAATAAATAGGTACTTCAATATTAATGATAAATAGTAATTGGATTCAATAAATTCTACGTATATTAATAGTATTATTTAGGTTTTTATTTTTATTTATTTTAAGTCCTAAAAATCAATCATTTATAAAAAAAGTTTAATAACTTTTACTTATGTAACTCATAAATCTAACATAAAGATATTTCACCTTATAAGTGACTCATTTAAATTAATTACTTTATTACTATATTAGAAAACATATTTTGACTAAAAAATAAAACATCAATCAATTTATATATTTTTTTAAATATCCTTTTTATCTTATTTTATATTTCTAAGTTAAAAAAAAATAATGATCATTTTCTTCGTTCAATTTAATTATTACAATTTTATTTTAGTATTATCTTAAAAGAATATTCACATTAATCTAATTTTTGTTATTGTTAGCCACAGCTAGATAAGAGACAAAATTATTAAAAAAAAAAATAAGTTTATAAGCCACGAATCCATTAAGAGAATAGCATCCTTTATTTTATTTTATTATTTATTTATATATTTTAATATAGGTGACGAGCTCATTATAAATAAAATATTTATAAAATTTGGACATATTTATATAATAATTATAAATTAATTATATATTATTAAAAACATAATATATATATATATATATATATAACTTAATATAATTAATGTTTTTTATAAAGAACAATTTTATTTGTATTAATATTTTATGATTTAATCTTACTCAAATTATATTTTTTAATAAACAATTATTAAAAAATATATTTGAAATAATACTTTTAAAGTAAAGTTTAACTAGCGAGTGCTTTTTCATTTAAGGGACTAACCATTGTTTGAGAGAATTATGTAAAAGTAGAATGTTACGAAAAGATTACTAGATTGTCTACAACTCACTTCATTCCAATTTATTTTTTCCTCAATTTATATAAAATCATTCCAATAAAAAACATAATAAAATATAACTTAATCCAACATGCTTCAAACTCTTGAAATTAAACTTAACACGTATGTTAGAATATTGTTACCCCAATTGAAACTAGTTATACCCAATTTTGTCTAACTTGTATATTTCACATTAAATTTGTCTAACATTCGATTTATTATCAATGCTAGTTAGGATTATGTTATCAATGCTAATGAAACTATTTTATAAAATAGTTAAAAAATAACCATGTATGGAGGTTAGAGAAAATACGTTTTAAAATATTATAGTTAGGATTGTGTTATCAATGCTAATGAAACTATTTTATAGTCAAATATAAGTCAAGTTTTTTTTTAATAAACATTGATAAAAAAAATATTGACATAAAATATTTATTAGTTAATACAGATCAATGGACTCACATTTATCCACATTTTCTCAACCAGGGTCGGTGAAGCAAATTTTTAACTGAATGCTAACAATTTTATTTTTTTATTAAAGTTTATATTTATTTTTTATCGATATTCATTAAAATTATTTTGTATCTATCTCGCTAATATTTTGGAATAATAATTTTAATATTTAACAACAATTAGATATTTTATTTAAAAAAAGTTGGCTTATTTAAATAATAAATCAATAAGTATATAACAAAATAAATTTTGACAAATATTATATATATAAATGGAAAACAAGCACTAAAGAGCGTGTATCCATATTTTTTTTATAGTTACTTTCTTTTAAAATATTTTTTTAAATTTTATTTATTATCTCTCTTAATTTCTCGAAGGTACTAATTCTTTTATTATTTTAATACCTGTCCACATTTTTATAATTAATTTTTAAAATATTTTTAAAATTTTATTTGTTTTCTCTTCTTATTCTCTAAAATCAATTTTTATAGTCAATAATATAGATTTAAAGTTCCAACTAAATTTAAATAAGATAATATTTTTATAATATAATAAATATTAAATTCATTAATAATAATATTTTTTACAAAATAATAAAATTATTATTATCATCCTCCTAAATTATAATAAAAATTATAAATATAAAATATATTAAAAAATATAAGATAAATAATTATTAAAATAAGATGAAAATATAATGAAATATTTTTTATTTAAAATTGGTTTAATTAATATAAAATAAATAAAAACTATTTTATATAAAAATATATTTAAAAAATTATCTTAATTTTAAAAAATTCAACTGATTTTAACCATTTTTATGGTATTATCCGAGTTTAGTTAAAATCTTATTATTTAAAAATAGTGAACCGTTTTTTTAATTGTTTGAATTAGTGCTAAAAAAATATATTTTTATTTTTTTCTCTCTCATATTTTTACTATTTTTAAATATATAAAGAATAATAACTATTTTTTTAATTATGATATTTTTATTTTTCCCTCTTCTTATGACACCAAAAATCTATTATAATATAAAAGGAAATCTTTTTGTATATGTGTAAGTTGAAATACAAATGCTCATGCTGTATATCGATCTACATTTATTATTTTTTTATAAAATAGTATTTTTATTTATAACTTAAGATGAAAAAAAAAAACCTTAAATATAATCGAGAGTGTTTTAAAGAAAGAGAGAAATGATACAAACACGTAATTGATGATATTTTAAGAATAAGAGAAATGACAGTTTTTGTATTAATTATATTGAAGGAAATGAAACAAATATATAATTATTATACGGGAGAAGATCAAAAGTTAGAATAAATAAAATATTGAATGATAAAAAAATTATTAAATAATTATCTTTTATATATATAATATATTTTTAAACCTAGTCAAAGAAAAAAGAGAAAAAGTAATTATTAAAAACGTTATAAAAATTAAAAATAATTATTTATTATTTTAACTTTATGAACTCATTTAAGTTTAAAAATTTTGATGCAAAAAACTTACCATTTTTTACAATAATATGTAGCAGTTTTCTTTACTTGTATGTTTACAAGACAGTCCTTTGATGATAAATATAAGTTTAAATATTGTCATAACTCCAAAAATAAATATGAATCACTTCGATATGGACCAACACAAAAATATATTTTTAAAAATTGATAAATTAAGTCATACATTTTAAATATTGATTTTATGTATGGTTTGAATTGAGCTTCATTTATGACTGGGCACTACAACCTGTAATGTAAAGGCTATCATTTATTGCTTATCTAAAATCTTATACATAAGGAATAAATATTTTTAATTGAAGAATTGGGATAATTTTAATTACCAACTTTTTTATACACTATATATTAATTTGTAAATTGATAAAAAAAAAATTACGCAAGGAAAAGCTATCAATTCTGTTGATTTTAAGAGTATTAAAATCTGCATATAATTTATTTAAAATAATTTAAGTTAAACTTTGAAATAGATAAATAGCTCAAAAGAATCCATTTGTTTCTTCAATGAAAAGTTTGTGTGAAGAAAGAAGTTCCACATCCGTGGGAACTTCAATTGGGGGCTCTCCTCCTTCCTATAAAAGGAGTCTCTCCCCCCTTATTTCATACATCCCAAATATTTCTCCTTCTTTCTCTTTTACTTTCCTAGTATTGGTAATTTCCAATTGTAAAAGGAAAGAGTGGTCATTATAAAATTTTCATTTTTGCCTATTGTCAGGGTTATTTTTCTCGTCTCTATTTTAGTTGTGTGTATTTGTGCTGGTACTCTGATCCTAACAGTGGTATCAGAGCTGCGTTCGAGTCCCGTTGCGCTAGTCACTAGAATAGTGTTGGTAAAATTCTGAGTATGCTCTGTGGTTGCAGTTTAATCTGATCTTCCACATCAGAAAGGAGTTGTTACTGGAAAAGGTGTGGTAGTGTGAAAGTACTATTGAGGAAAGTTCTGGCTAGGAAAGACTTGGTACTTAAGCGTGTCCATTAGTGACCCACCTCTCTTTCCTGGGAACCTACTTGGTGTACTGGTTCACGGTCTACTACTATTGTTCCAGTAGACAATACTATTCATAAGTGAAAGTTGCATAAGTGGAAACACAACCATGGCAGCAAAGTACGAGATAGAGAAGTTCAACGGGAACAATTTCTCGTTGTGGAAATTGAAGATGAAGGCAATCTTGAGAAAGGACAATTGCGCAGAAGCAATTGAGGGAAAACCTGCAGAAATGACGGATAAAGATTGGAAGAAAATTGACGGCAACGCTATTGCAAATTTACACTTGGCAATGGCAGACTCAGTTCTATCCAGTGTTGCGGAGAAAGATTCTGCAAAGGAGATTTGGGATGCCCTCATTAAATTATATGAGGTGAAGTCACTTCACACAAGGATATTCCTGAAGAGGAAACTCTATACTCTTCGGATGAGTGAGTCCACATCGGTGACGGACCACATCAACCAACTGAACACCTTGTTTGCCCAATTAGCAGCAGCAAATTTCAACATAGTTGAGAATGAGCGTGCGG